CAGACCTTCTCACCTGGAGCACGAAGTCAGTATGTTTGCAGAGTGAGTAGCAGCTTTTTGCAGTTTTACGTTCAGAAGCAGAAAAAAGTGCTGTTTTAAAATACTTGCATCCTGTTTGCAAGGATCAGGTCAGTTAAAAACTCTGCATTGATTTGAAATATTATCACTGGAAAGAGTTCCTATCACTGAGCTTACTTCTCTATAAAATATTATGAATTAAATGATAGACCCCCACTGATCTCTGTTGCATAATCTTGTTTTTTGCCAGTTAGTGAAGTTACATTTCTTGTTGAGGGTTCCTTCTTGCTACCATCGTACAAATAATAGCAGTCTCTTGAAAATGCTTTCTCACACTTCAAATTGCTGCACTGACCCAGCTCCCTCCCTCCAGCCACCCAGGGGGCGAGGGTTGGGCTGGACCGAAGCAGGCCAGGTCCTTCCCTATGGCGGCAAAGGGGGTTGGTCCAGACTGAGGCTGGGTCTGGCCCAGCCCTCTCCCTCTGGCAGAGAGGAGGTACCGTGGAGCCTGGTCCTTTCCCTCCAGCCACGAGGTGGGAGGCCACGTAACTCTGGCCCCCACCAGCGAGGGTCAAGGCCATGTGGCTCCCATTTCTCACCCCAGATGCCGTGTGCGTTTTGCGTGCCCTCCTCCCAAGCCCCCAAGAGGTTGTCCCTCCCACAGCTTGCACCTCTCAGCCTTTCCCACAGCCGAATCCCTCATTCTCACCCCAGGGTCTGCACCTTCTGTCTCAACCCAGTGAGAGTGAGTAAGGGCTGGGGACAGCAAGTGGTGGAGAGGAGGGGAATGGAGAGGACCGGGCCTCAAGGAAAGGGTGGGGTCTTGGGGAAGGTATGGGGAACATCTTGGCTGGCCCTGACTTTTAAAAAGTTAATCTTGGGTGTAAAAATGTTGGAGATCACTACTGTAGATGCTGCGTTAATCTCCAGTTGGTTTAAGGCACAGCAGAAAGGCTGTTAGCACTTTCAAAGCAATCCCACTATGTAGAATTGAGTGGTTTTCAAATGACTTTTTCTTAAATGAGAGATGATTCATGCTCTGGATATATTAAAACTAGATCACAGTTTACATGGCAAGTTTTTCTGCTTTTGTTGAGAGAAAAGATCATTGGGGTAATGGTATTGTTTTGGTGATTGTAGGTGGATAAAGAAACTAACACAGAGGATCTGTTCCCAGAAGAAGTCACTATTCTTCCAAAAGAGAGAGCCTGCCGCAGGACCCGGGCTTCTGCTTTTGTTCGTAGTAGCACTATTGTTCGATCACAGACCTTCTCACCTGGAGCACGAAGTCAGTATGTTTGCAGAGTGAGTAGCAGCTTTTTGCAGTTTTACGTTCAGAAGCAGAAAAAAGTGCTGTTTTAAAATACTTGCATCCTGTTTGCAAGGATCAGGTCAGTTAAAAACTCTGCATTGATTTGAAATATTATCACTGGAAAGAGTTCCGATCACTGAGCTTACTTCTCTATAAAATATTATGAATTAAATGATAGACCCCCACTGATCTCTGTTGCATAATCTTGTTTTTTGCCAGTTAGTGAAGTTACATTTCTTGTTGAGGGTTCCTTCTTGCTACCATCGTACAAATAATAGCAGTCTCTTGAAAATGCTTTCTCACACTTCAAATTGCTGCACTGACCCAGCTCCCTCCCTCCAGCCACCCAGGGGGCGAGGGTTGGGCTGGACCGAAGCAGGCCAGGTCCTTCCCTATGGCGGCAAAGGGGGTTGGTCCAGACTGAGGCTGGGTCTGGCCCAGCCCTCTCCCTCTGGCAGAGAGGAGGTACCGTGGAGCCTGGTCCTTTCCCTCCAGCCACGAGGTGGGAGGCCACGTAACTCTGGCCCCCACCAGCGAGGGTCAAGGCCATGTGGCTCCCATTTCTCACCCCAGATGCCGTGTGCGTTTTGCGTGCCCTCCTCCCAAGCCCCCAAGAGGTTGTGCAGCTACCAAGCCCCCACGGCTCCACGCGCTGCTCCCCTCTCATCCAAAGCCCCTGGGCTCCCGCATGATGCCCCCTCCCACTCCAGATAGCAGCGGAGCCACACGTCTCAATTTTAACTCCGGCAGCCGATGGAGTATACATTAAAAATATCAGCTGTTATTTAATAAAAGGAACAATATGGTAACGGTTAAAGCAAAAGATACGTAATTCTGCCTCGTGGGCACGGGAATCACAAACAACAATCTTTGGGATGTAAGGGAAGGTCACAGTCTGTTCCTCACATGTCTGAGGCCGCCTGGCCCAGACCTGGCTGTATTGCAGTGATACAGACACTTGGTCTGGTGGTGGCCACATGCTCTCAGGGTCAGTGCTCCTGTCGGGTTTTACTCCCCCTACATGTCTGGCCTGTAAAACCTCTTGGCCCTATGCCCAGGGTCCCCCTCGCTCACCTGAGTTGTTCATCGCACCTTTCTGTGGGCTGCTCTAGCCTGCCTCAGTGCTGCTGCTGTTCTGCTCATAGCACAGCTCTGTTCCCTAGGCTACTTCTCTGGTTTTCTCTGGCTGCTCTTCTCTCCTTAGCTCTGCCCTGCTGCCCACATATAGAAGGATGGGACCCTGGGTTCCTGACTCCTTCATAGACCTGCCTGCTTTGTCAATCAGACTGACCTGGAGCACTGGTCCCTGGGGACTATCAGTCTCAGGCTCTTTGATTTTTCATCGTCTCTTCCCTTTTGATAATAACAAACACACTAAATTTGAGGAGGGGCTGGCAGTCTCCTTATGTTAGCATGGATCTGTGTTCATGTCACACTCCCTGTCACTACCCAGCCCTGGCTGGGGAAAGCTAATGATCTAATCAGTGAACTAAATTTGGTGATGAATTCTGGTCATGTGTCATCGTCTTGCAAATATACCAAGAAGAGTGGCTTGTTATACACAAGAGTAAACCACTTTTGATGGTAGAGTAATCTTCCTAACCAAAAAAATCTGTTGGCAATTTAAGAAGAAACAATGAAACACATGTACCATCTATTAACAAATAAATATTGTTCAGACACGGTACAACAGGGTTTTTTTTTAAGTGAAGTCAATTACGCGTTTAGGATGGAGTGAAAGAACTTTTGTTCATTATTGTAAGTAAATCCTAAGAAAGTGGTCTGTTATCTGAAAATAGATGCCATTGTTTCCAGTCATAAAAACTTGCAACATTTAAAATTTCAAAGCAACCATGAGTAAATGTCCGTTTCTGTTTGTTGTCTTTTCTGATCAGCTGTATCGTAGTGACAGTGACAGTTCAACACTGCCAAGGAAGTCACCGTTCATCCGCAATACATTGGAAAGGCGTACTTTGCGCTATAAGCAGGTATGCTACAGTATGTGAGCATGTGGGTTTTTTCTCCACTGAGACCACCTTCTAACAAACTGAAGTACCAGTATTTTGATCTGCATTTCAGAGGTCTGTGTTAGACGGTTTTTATGAAGTATCTGATACTGTAATGCAGTAAACTATTTGGGCTTTAGGAGAAGAGAGAAATAGTCATAAACAACTACAAAAACTTTCCTGTCTCCTAATGATCAGTTTATATAGATACTGATTATGGGTTGGTTTAATTATCCAGTGTGGTAAAACATTATGGGTTAGTCTGTGCTTGGGTGGATACCCACAAAGTGAATTAAGAACAATTAGCGATTGTCATTATAACCCTATTTGGTCCTAGGTGTTAAGGAGTAAGCAAGGGTAAATGTCCCTTTAATCTCTTACCAGAGCAGAGGGACAGGAAGTGTGCAGAGCCATGTTTTTATCTCTCATACTTGATAATTAGTGCTGCTGATCCAGTGTGGGAAGAGGTGTTACATAATATTGCTGGGAGAGATAAGTAGCCATTTTTTACTGCCTTCAAAGCAAGGAGGAGGGAGCTTGGAAGAAATTCTTACTCAGGACCTGTCTCTGAGTCATAATGCTTTTGGGGGATTACTCCTATAATGGTGTATGCCACCCTTTGCTGAAAGCTATTCCTGAAGACTTCATTGAATGCAAGAATTTCATGATGGCAGCAGAAGAAAGGTACACAAAATAAGTTTGATTCACCACCTTATGAATATGAACTAAGACATCTTGCTAGAAAAAGGCATGAGTTTGAGACCAAAACTTGTATCTACCGTCAAACACAAATTGAAATAGAATGCCTAATATACAACATATGTTTTGTCTTGTCACAGTGAAATTAGTACATTATTTTCAACTCTTGAAGTGCCAGAATAGTTAGAGGCCTGTATGCAATGTCTGTGTTAATCTACAAAGACTAAATCAATACAGCATGTTCTGAATACTCTCTCTGTTGTCTGTTTTATTTGAATTATAATAACCTAGCAGTCCTGTCGATCGTCTTTGGCTGAGCTTATGGCAAGGACATCCCTAGACCTGGAGCTGGATCTCCAGGCATCCAGAACTAGACAGAGACAGCTGAATGAGGAGATATGTACTTTGAGAGAGTTGAGGCAACGTCTGGAAGATGCCCAACTCAGAGGGCAAGCTGATCTTCCCCACTGGGTCCTTCGGGACGAACGATTCCGAAATTTGTTGAAAGAAGCAGAGAGGCAGGTATGGTTTCTTGGGCCATATGTTGGGCAGGCATACTCTGAACTGTTGATTCAAGCCTGATTGGCTGTAAAGCTATCTTGGAAGTGCTGAAATTATAATGTTCCCTGATTTTAAATAAACAGTTTCATCGCAGATACCCTTGTTCTCATGAAAACATCATTTCATTTCATGATCTTAGGCTCATTTGAAAGATGAAAATATAGTACGTTTCAGAAGCAATAAGGACTGAAACAGTCCTGTGGCTCTAGCAGGTCTAGCTATTTCGGATTTGTGCTTGGCTGGTTTCATTGAGGAGGAGTGGAAAAGCATATTATTTGACAAGATGTCTTCATTTCCATATTTCCAGCTGTTAATTTTTAGTTTGGCTTTAATATTTTTCAGACAAGACAGACCAAATTTGAACATCACCAAGAACAAGCAGCTGAGAGAATGCTAAAGAAAGCATCCAAAGAAGTATATCAACTGCGTGGACAAAACCAGAAAGAACCTATTCAGGTGCAGACTTTTAGGTAAGCAGTAACCTCTATTGAAAATGCGCGTTTAACCTTAACAGATCTCTGTGTGTAGTATAGTAATGTGTTGTTACAGCTCATTTGGTAGTTCAAAACCAGTTGGTTTCACTATGTAGTGTCCTGTGTATCTGTAGTCTTTACTTTATATACTCATGTGGATCTGCCTTCATTAGAGTGCTTTTGAGCAGTTTATGGTACAAAGACAAAAAGCCAAAGCGAAAAATCACTGTCGCTCAATGCTGTTATAAAAAGTGTTATCTGTTACAAAAAGAGAATGTTCATACTCATGTACACACATTTTCAGGCTTTATTTATAATTAAGGTGACACATACTACCACCCTATGCTTTAGATGCCAAGCTCAGATGGTTTAAGTGCTCCAAGAACCAGCTGCTTCCCTACATGCACAGTCAATTAATTAATGTTCTATAGGTACTGTAGTAAATAGCTAAAATAGGGAAAGGACAAGTTAAAAATTACTTGGACAAGTTAGATGTCTACAAGTCACCAGTACCTTAGGAAGTGCATCCCAGAATACACAAGAAGCTGACTGAAAAGATATCTGAGCTATTAGCTACTAGCTTTGAAAAGTCATGGAAGATGGGAGAGATTCCGGAAGACTGGAAAAGGGCAAAGATAGTGCCCGTCTATAAAAAAGGAAACAAGGACAAACCAGGGAATTACAAAGCAGTCAACCTAATATGTGTATTATGAAAGATAACAAAGCAAACATCTAGAAGATAATATAATAAGAAATATTCAGTGTGGAGTTGTCAAGAATAAATCCATGTCAGACCAACTGATAGCTTTTTTTGACAAGGTAACGAGCCTGGTGGTATATCTAAACTTAATAAGGCTTTTAATATAGTCTACCATGACCTTCTCATTAACAAACTAGGGAAATACAACCTTTAGTAGCTCCATCTAGGTTGTATCTTCCAAAACCGGAATTCTCTGGTCCAGCTGAACCACAGATGTTCCTGGCTCAGAGAACCTCGGTAGCCTAGTGGCAGGAGGGGCCAGGTTGAAGCAGCGGACGGGGTAGGGGCTGGTGGCAGTCCGCGACAGCCTGTGTCAATGGGACCAGGTTGGGGCTGCCCCCAGCAGCACAGGATTGGGCCAGCAACAGCACGGGGCTCGGGCTAGAGCCCCAGGCAGCCTGTGGAAGTGGGGCCGGGGCTGGTGGCAGCTCCCAGCAGCGTGGGGCTGGAGCCCCAGACAGCCTGCAGAAGTGGGGCCAGAACCTGTGGGCTGCTGTGGGGCAGGAGTCCATACTCTCAGCAGCCCGTGACAGAGTGACCGGGTCCAGGGATGAAAGCCCCCAGCAGCCCACTGCAGCGTGGGGCCAGAGTCCTAGAGATCCTGTGGAAGCTGGGCCAGAGCCTGTAGACTGCCGTGGAGCTGGAGCCAGAACCAGAACCCTTGACAGTCCCAGCCCCCAGCAGCCCATAGTAGTGCAGGGCTGGAGCTGCTGAAGCCCAGCAGGCAGTCCAACTGGGGCAGAAGCAGTGGGATCGGCAACCCAGCAGGCAGCCTAGTGGAGACTGGAGGGAGTCCCTCCACCTATCTCCCCCACTGGCAGAGTCACTAAATCTAGGATGAAGAATCTAAATGAGAATTCTTCTGCTCTACTCTGGGCTGAGTAGGCCTCAACTGAAGTATTGTCTTCAGTTCTGGGTGCACATTTCAGGAAAGATGTGGACAAACTGGAACAAGTCTAAAGAACAACAACAAAAATGATTAAAGTTCTAGAAAACATACCTGTGAGGGAAGATTGAAAGAATTGGGTTTGTTTAGAAAGGAGAAGACTGAGAAAAAGCTTAAGTTTTCAAGTACCTAAAATGTTATGAGGAGGAAAAAAATTATTCTCTTTAACTTCTGATGATAGGCAAAGAATTGATGGGCTTAAATTACCTCCTTGAGGGACAGGAAAGCTTCTTACTGCCTGCTCTGATTGCCCTTGTGGACACCACCACACTCCAGCCATGGAGCTGGACCTGCCTCAAAGCAGTCGCCAGTTCTTAGACCTCATGCCACACCACCTGGTGCAGTTACTGTAGGCTGCCCTCATGGAATAGGGCACCTCCTGTCTTCTCTCCAAGTGCTGCTCATGCAGCACGATCCTTTCCTGCATGGAGCGGTGGGACGACCAGCAGTGGCTCCAGAACTTCCACATGTGGAAGGCTACCTTCATGGAGCTGGGCCAATGGCTCGCCCCTGCCCTCAGGCGATGGGACACCCGCATGCAACCCACCATCCCCCTCCAGAAGCGGGTTGCCATCACGCTGTGCAAGTTTGCCATGCCAGACTGCTACCACTCCATGGAGAACCAGTTCGGTGCGGGGAGATCAATCATCGGGGCTGTTGTCATGCAGGTATGGCGCTATCGTGGTGTTATCCCAGGAGGTTGGTGAACTTCTGGAATGAGGTTCCCTAGGGAAGGGATTGGGGTGGAAGCTCCCTCCTTGAAAGGTTTTTCAGTCCCGTACTCTCAAAGCCCTGCCAGGGGATGGGGACAAGTTGGGGTTGCTCCTGGTGTGGGGGGGAGAAGGTTGAATTCCCAAGGGCCCTGGCAACTCTGTGATTCCCTGTTTGTCTCTTTCTGCAGATAGTGAGGGCCATCAACACCATCCTGCTGTGTAGAGTCATTATCCTGCGTGACGTGAACCTCATCGTCACTGGTTTTGCCACCATGAGCTTCCCCAACTGTGGGGGAGCCACTGATGGCACCCATATCCTCATCTGGGTGCCAGATCACCAGGCATTGAATTATATCAACCACATGGGGTACTTTTCAATGGTCCTGCAGGCCCTCATGGATCACCAAGGCTGATCTACCGTTAATACCAGGAGATAAAGGCGCATGATGCCCACTTCTTCAGGAACTCTGGCCTCTTCCAGAAGCTGCACACCAGCACATTTTTCCCCCAACCACTCCGTCAGTGTCGGGGATGTGGACGTGCCCATGTACATCATAGGGGACGCTGCCTACCATTTGCTTCCCTGGCTAATGAAACCCTTCACTGGACACCTGGACCCCACCAAAGAACGTTTTTACACCAGGCTCAGCAGGGCCCACATCATGGAGGAGGGCACCTTAGGCCATTTGAAGGGAAGGTTCTGCTGCCTCCTCATCCACCGGGACCTTGGTGAGCGGAACATTCCCCAAGTGATAGCGGCCTGCTGTGTCCTCCAAAATATATGTGAGAACAAGGGTTTCTGCCAGGGTAGAGGGGGCAGAGGCCAAGAAGTTGGCCAGGGCCTTTGAAGAGCCACGCACAGCTTTCATCCAGTAAGCTCCTCGGTGACATTGCACATTAGGAAGGTGAGGGAGAGTTTCAGACAAGGACACTAGTGAGAATCTGCCCTGGGAGCCTGTGCCTTCCTCCTCTGTGCCTTTCCTCTCCCAGCCCTCCCTTCCCCTGTTGATAAAATAAACCAGACCTTTTGTTTTGAACAAATAAACTCTGTTTTGTTTAATTGGGGTAAATGTAACTGGGGGAGGGATCAGGGAAAGAACCTGGGAGGGGGAGCTGGAAGGGGAAGGAGGGTGAAGAGGCTCAGGAATGGGCCCAGGACTGGCGCCTTCCTCGGGTGGTCCCGCTGCTTTGGGTGCGGGGTCGTCATTGGGCAGCTAGGGGGAGAAACCAGAGGTGCAGGAGCTGGAGTTGGGGTGGCAGCAAGAGCGGCCACCAGGCAGTCGGTGGTGGTGGTGTAAGCCTGCTGCAACAGCTCCTGCCAAGTGTTGTGTAACAGCTCCAGGTCATCTTCCAGTGTGTAGACCTGCTGGGCCAGAGACTGCTGCAGGGTACACAGGCAGGTGATGTTCTCCCACTGCAGGTCTTCATGGGGTCACCTTTGTCTGCAGATCTCACAGGATCAGGAGGCTGGCGCGGGAGATGTGACGCACAGCTGGTCCAATTGTAAGAAAAGTGAGAAGAGCAGTCATCCCAGGAGACAGGATGCATGAAGCCAGCTCGCATGTCTGAGCGAGACCGAAAAGTCTCAAGTCAAAGGCGATGTGCTTTGAGCAAGGCCATCTGTGGCCTAGACAATGGGCCCTTTCCTGTAGGGGCATAGATGTCCTGGGGGGAGCCTCGCTAGCCTTTTGCCCCGGGAACAAGCAGGCGTGGGAAGCAGATGACGGGGCGGCTTGGCTTCCCTGCATGCTGGACACACGCCGGCTCCAGCAGTGGCAGTGTTCCACAAGGAGAAGACTTGTATCCCTGCCTTTTGGAGGAGAGGAGTGAGGGTTTTGGGGGAGGTGTATGTGGGCAGCTAAAGCCACTTGATGGGGAAGTTGCTTCTGGGTCCCCTCTGCTTTCTGCCCCTGGCCCTTCCAGCAGGCTCCTCTGGCAAGAGACCTGTGTCCTCTGTCTCATTGCATTGGCCTGGGAGCGCAGGCTTCCCCAAAAGTGCGGGACCGTCTGTGTGTGTCCGTGACCCCATCCTCCCCAGTGGTGGCTGGTGGTGGGGAGATGTCCCACCACAGGCTTGTGAGCAAAGCGGGCCTCTCCAGAAATCCTGTGAACAGGAGCACAAGGTTCCTGAGCGGCTGCCTCATTGCGGCTTTCTGCTCCGGGCTGGAACTCCATGTGCACCTATATGCACAGGTTACTACTGTGCGATCTGAAAGCCGAAAACCTCAGGCAAAGAGCGTGCAGCCCCTCGCCACCCACACCCTCCCCCCCATGTGTGTTCAGGGAAAGTAATGCAACGCAACTGATGAGCTTTTCCTGGCCTCATCTGAGCCCTGGGTGACTTCCTGGGAGGGGGTACCAGCTCCAGGGACAGGCAGACCTCCTGGCTGGAGAGCATGGTGTCTGTGCTGGCTTCCTCATCATCACCACAGCCATGCCCTCTGGGAAGCTGACGACAGGCGATCTGTCACCCTCCCAGGATGCCATCAAGCTGGGTGAAGAAGCAGTACGTCTGGGGTGCCGTGCCTGATTGGGAACTTTTTCCCTGTCTTTGGCATGGACCTACCAGAATTATTTT